TTTCTTGTTTAAACTGATAATGCACTCCTTGTGTATTATCTTTTGATTTTATTTATAAAATTGCGTGATTACCTATCAAAAAAAAAATAGGCCACCTGTTTGGTTTAGATAAAAATCAGATTTTGAGTAGATTTTAATAAAAGTTGATGGAATGTATAGTTGAAAAATTGTGAGTCCATAAAATGTGTGATTAAAATTAATTGCTGACTTTGATATAAATTTTAATCCAGTTTTTTATTGAAACCAAACAGGTGCTAGATGAGATTGTCGAAGAGTGTGCTAAAATTTATCAATTATCTTAATAGATTTTGTTTGGTTTAATAATTTTTTTTTAACAAATTACATGCAAAAAGATAAGATCCAAATAGAAAATGTTAGAAAACAAGACAAGTACACTAAAGTTGACATTGGTGAACTAGTACCATAATTTGAATAAAATTAAACAAAAAAAAAAAAAAGCGGTGCGAACTTAGTGACTAGATTAGGAGAGGGAAGAGTAGACCACAATTATCATACTTTATTGTATTTGCTAAGAATTTAGTTATTTTAAATCTTTCAATAAATCCAATAAAGAACCAAATGGAGTAGCGAATATAATTCATGTAGCCAACTCCAAATTCATTAGGAACCATGTTTAGTATTGTATTATTACATTTTTTTTTTTAGCTCTGCATGTATACACTAGTAAAATATACATTTTTTCGTTATCTGGAGCTTGAAGCATTTGCATCATGAAAGCATTAATCTGAACTTGTTTCTTTCAAACAAAAGGACCAATATATATCCCTGATGATGTTTGCTGCTTTCAGATTATAACCAATGGAAAGTATATAAGTGCTCAACATCGGGCCATAACTAATGCCACCAATTCCCGGATTTCAGTTGCTACATTTCATGACCCCGCAAAAACAAGGAAAATACACCCAGTGTTTAAACCACCTAAATATCATGAGGTGATGTATGGGGACTATGTTTCATCCTGGTACACAAAAGGCCCGGAAGGAAAACGCAACATTGATTCTCTTTTACTTGATTAGTTGCTTTCACTTTTCTTCTGGGGGATTAAGCTCGATCATGGGTAAGTGGAATCTGAGTATCTAAAATGCCTTAATTCAATTTTCCTTCGTCTTTAGATATGTGAAACTCGATCTTTGTCTTAACAGTCTGCCAAGGGCCCTTTTGGCATGAATTTTACTTTTAATTTTGCTTCCCGTAGAAGAGCTTTTAAATGAATATACCTTAATTTTTATTTAAAAAATAATTTTTAAAAGCACTTCTTATTCCAAAAGTACTTTGGAAGTCACATTGGATCAGCTTCCTCCAAAAGCTCTTTTAATTACCAGAAGCACTTTCATGAATCTAGCCAAACGGGTCTAAAAGCAGCTTTTGGGTATGAAAAGCTTATTTTAACTTTTTAAAAGTCATGCCAAACTTGCTCTAACTCTTATTTTCTTCTCTGTTTAGATTGGTTAGAGAATATTGATTTATAATTACGCTTGGACCTGTATTCAGATATTTTAAAGTGGTAGCAAGACTTATTAGATGGCTAGATCTTCACAGTAGCAGGGAATGGCTTGTTTGCCAGTGACCGTTTTATCTTTACATTCATCTCCTCTTTTGTAACTTTCATTTTTGATGGACAAGCCCAGTGTTGCTGAAACATACTGGAAAAATGAAAAAATTTTTTGAAGAGGACTATGTAGTTGGATTTATCTTGTTTTCATTTCACCGTTCTGTAAAATTATGCACTAGTTGTTGGATCCTCCTGAAAATGTCGTGTCCTGTCCTGAGTAGTTATAACAAGATCGCATGAAATTTTAAGGGGTATTCAAACAGAGAGCTATTTTACTTGCAATCATAACAGGATTGATTTGTGCCATTTTCTTTGCTTCATTAGATAATACAATGTGTTGTCTCCCATGAATTTGGAATCAGCACTTGCACATGAGCACCACATTTGCTGCGGTCAAGGCTCTACAAGAAGACTATTATTAGCAATGACATAAGTATTGCTGCAAGTTGCTTTAGACCTGAGTTTCAGAGCCAGTCAGCAAAGACAAGGATACAAATCAATATGATATTAGACTTCATTAGAGTCAAACGAGCCGTCAAATTTAAATATTGATATTCTCAAAAGAATTGTTTGATGATATATTATTATGTTGTTACTATATTTACTTCATTGTTCGTCGTTCATTTGATTAATAATATATTTACTTCATTGTTCGTCATTCATTTGATTCCTCAACGATCAAACTCAGTGTCACTTTACTGCATAACACAATAGACAATGATAGGTGCATCACTATTTTATTAATCCACCTTACCAAAAATGTCAGTTACATTATTAAGCTACGGTTGAAGACTGAAGAAAGCAACAGAGTCTTTAAATGTTAAAGCATATGAGAGAACAATTACAGGGATGATGAAACTAACTCATTGGAAGCAGAAGCATCCCTTCAGTTTTGCTTTCAGCTTCACTTTGAGCGTCGACTGTGAATTTCTGAGAATCCAGTTCTCCTTCTCTAACTCGTTGATTACTGTCCTCTTCTCATCATTTCTTCTTATCAACTCGGACAAATTCTCCTCCAGAAGTTTAAAGAGATGTAAACGTTGAGTCCAAATTTTCTCCATTGGGAATCCATCGTTAGTGTCCTTCTCACTTATTAAATGAACATGATCTGATCCCTTATAATTTGAGGGGTTCTTGCTTGAACTCGAGACAGTATTTGAGGACAACTCAAACTCAAAGTTGGAATTTTCAGATTCAGAAGCAGGATTAACACTCGGATGCTCCACATTATGCAACTGGTTTTGTGAAGAATCCAACAATGTATTCTCTTGATGATGAAAATTGAAAAGTAATGCTTGGGATTTTAACATTAGCTGCTGCTGCTGCTGCTGATCATACTTAACGGCCAAAGCTCGGTATGATCTGTGAAGCTCTTCGACCATTTTAATGAGTTGTGGTCTCTTTCCGTAGTACATCTCGGCTCTCTTTGCGAATGTGTCTCCATCATCGTCTTCAATTACGTCCAAAATCATCTTTATCGTTCTATCCAACTCTAAATTCATCATATGTAAAAACCAATTAGAGTCTCTTCTTTTTATTACTTGATATTTTTTCTTCTCCAACAACATTAATTACTCTTATCATCTATCAGTACAGCAAAAAAAAGTCATTTAAAAGTTAAAATCAGATATAAATATGGAAAATTATAAAATAGAATAGTGAAATCAATAATACAAACTCATACGTAAAATCATAATATATACAACTTTGCGCTGTGCGTTTCTAGAGAGAGAGAGAGAGAGAGAGAGACCTGATAAAGTGGTGTGGAGCCATTGAGAATGAGGGCAGCGATTATGGCTATCCCACCACCATGAATGGGAAGAGAATCGTCGTAGTTGATCATCGTTTTTCTCCATTGAATTGAATTGAATTCAAAAACGAAAGAAAAAAAAATGGTTTATTAGAAGAAGAAGAGTTGTAGGACTCTAATTGGTATTTAAACCGTTTCTTTCCTTGTATAAATTATTATCTTTCTTCGTTGAAAAATAACAAAGTTTTTGAAATTTTCATTTCCTTATTTTCAGCTACCCTAGGGTCTTCTAACCTTTGTAAAGTGAAATCATGAGATTTGTCTTTAGACATGGGAAATGGTATGATACTCAAGACTTTTTTAATACAAGGATTACATTGATTAGTGGCTACAAGTAAAATATATCAAATGGAAAAATCGAATTGTAATCATCTTTTATTTAGTAGTGGCAAAATAGGCTTCAGACGACTTACGAGTCTATTTTACTAACGAGTTATATATCAATTTAACTTGATTATTGACTGGATTCTATGAGTATTGAACGTTTTTAATGTATTTATTAGTGTTGTTTCATAAGTTTGATGAGATGGTGTTAATGATGGTAAAAGAAGAGAAAACAAATGGTTTGGAATCAAAAGAAGAGAATGAGAAGAAAAACGGTAAAAGAATCATTCTTCTACATCGAAAGAAGAGAAAAAGAGAACAAGGATCGAGGGATGCCAAGGTGTGGTGTCGTGGCACCGCACATCAAGTGTTGCGGCGCCACGTGGAATGACCATCTAGGGCACATTTTTGGCCCGTTCTAAAGCCCATAAAAACTCTAAATTATGGAAAAACGTGAAGAGGAGTACAAATACAAGAATGAAGACACTTTTAGGGGTTCCACTGATTGAGAGACGGAGAATAAAATTTGGAGAATTAGAGAGCAAAATCAAAATAGAAAAACATGAAATCAAGGGTTTTGGAATCAAGGTTTGGAACAAGAGGAGGAACTTGGTGCAAAATTCATCAACTTCTTTACATCTCAATTCGAAATTTGTTGATGTACTCAATACAAATCTTCTGTTTTTCTCCCATTGTTATAAGTAGCTAAGTTTTTCATTAGAGCAAACAATATAATTGACTTGAGACATTTCATTTCTTTTTTTCGAGATTCTAGTTCTTTAAAAATTTATGTGTTGATTTTATTCATGTATTTAATTATTTGAATTACTTGATTACTAATTGAATGATTTTGTGAATCTTTTACGAATCGAGAGGTGAGTTTTAGATTTAGACCACATAGTAAAATCTAGTAATTTAGTATAACGTGTAGATATACCTATACTAGCTATTGCTGTCATTATATGAATTCTTAGAACGAATAATGTGTTTAATTATGGTTGATTCACGTAGAGATATGTGATTGAATTATTTAAATAGATCTAATGAGAACTCAAGATGGGTAAATTGAATACAATAGAAGAATTTGATAAAACGTTACATTAGGTTATGAATCTTGAATTAAGACTTAAAGGTGATCAATACATGAAATTGTTATGTTCTATATTTCCTTCATATTTAAATTTTAAATTGATCTTTGTGTGCATTCCATTATTTTGAAGTAGTTAGATCAAAAATAAAAATAAATCACAATTCTTTATTTGTTTTCATCAAATAGTAATTAGAAATATTAAATTAAGCATTAAAGTATTGTGGGAACGACAATACGGACTCAAAGATCCACTATATTACTTGTTACGATTTTGTACTTGCGATATAAAAAACACGACTACCCATCTTGTTGGAAAAGTGGAAATTTTATTCCCTACTGATTTTTTGTTTTTTATTTCCATTTGTATTGTTCATGTATTTATTATCAACCTACACTATTCGATTTAAAATTCACTTTTCATTATCAAACCCTACCATAATAAAGCACCCTCTACCACTCCCATCAACCCCGTCCACCGCCTCTAAAACCACCATGTCGCTACATCGCCGCCACCACTGTCCAAAATTCCTACCAAATCTCATAATATATAAAGCAAATATGATTTACTGGAGAAGAAAAAGGGAATTCTAAA